GGGAAGCTACATTCAGGCATAAGTTAATAGTTCTAATGTTAACATGGGAGCTGGAATCTGCTGCCCAGCTCTTGGCTGTGTATCATCACCGACCCGTTCATTGCTTGGAGGTGTTAGGCAGTTTAGAGTCCAGTGGTAACAGGGAGAACTTGTTGCAGTTCCTCAAAGATGCCTAGTGAGAACATCCTCGTGTTCTCTCAGCTATCAATGGCCAAACTGTCAGGTTTCAGTGGTGTGAGGCAGTCTGTGTGGTTTCAGTGAGCAGGCTTAGTTATAGATGTTTCTGTTGTGCTACTTTGCATTTATCATCCTGCTCACGTAGCTCTGCATTTTATACAGATAAGAGAGAAAAAGTTGAAATGGTGAAGCTTATGTTACACAGGTCAAATCCTGAAGCTGGTTTAAGCCAAAAAGACAGAAGCATTGTTCTGCTAGGAAAAAACTATTCACCAAAATGGTAGTCAAGCATTGGAACAGGCTGCCCAGGGAAGTGGTGGAATCACTGTCTCTGGAAGTGTTCAGAAATTGTGTCGATGTGGTGCTCAGGGACATGGTTTGGTAGTGAACCTGGTAGTGTTAGTTTCATGGTTGGACTTGATGATCTTAGAGGGTTTTTCCCACCTTAATGATTCTGTGGCCATCTCTAGCCTTAATAAAGGCAGACTTGAGTTTACACACCTTATGCCAAGCACCCAGACAGTCTGTGGAGAAGCATAATTAAAAGAGGAAACTCTGAGTTAAACAGCACACGGGTTAAACCACAAATCATTTGTCACTGACCTTAAAGGCTTGGCCTAGAGTGCCCCTGAACAGTTTGGAAAGGTGCCAGAAAGGAGTGCAAAGGCTCAGCCATGAGTTTGCCTCTGGGTCACACATATTTGGATAGGTTTGACAGCAGCGCCTACCAAGACGACTCCCTCTGGCACCTCTCTGCACAGCACTCCATATCCCTCCATGATAAGAATCAGTTTGTCTTAAACATAATAATATATACCATTGCCCTATCAGCTTTTATAATTTAGAGAGGAATTATATTTATAGACATTACCACCTTCAGGGAATCTGAAGATTTCTGCACAGAATTCAGACTTTCGATGAAGTAAAAGGAAGGTAAGTGTTCAAGTACTCTTCAAGGCTATTCTGAAAGCTAGCTCTTTTTCCCTAGAGAGGCAAGAACAATCTTCTCTGGACTCTACAGGAGCAGTAAGTAAAAATTACCTTATACAATGGCATGCAGATGCTATCAATCCACTCGAGCTGCAATCTGGGTAGTTCATGTTTCCTGTTCCGATCAAAAATGGCCTGAATTGAGAAGGGAACAAAACTGTCATGCTTTATTACATTGGAATATTTTACAGACACATCATCCAGCACTTTACAGCTATGATCAAATTCTCACAACCAGAAGACTTTGTAAGCCACAATCAATCTTTGCAGCAGTCTTCCTACTGCTTTGCCTGACATGAAAAATAAATGTTTATTTTCAATTCTGTTTTGGAATTTTTAGGCTGAATGTGTTTGATAATTCTGTGATGTAAAATAAATGCTCCACAGTTAGAGTTGAGCTGGTATGTAACCTCCTGTAGGAATGTAAAGTAGATACCTTTGAGTAGAAATTTCCCTTTTCTCACACAGGTTTTTCCAGCTCAGCAAAATGAACAGTGATGGATCTGGGCTGGCTCTCTCTCCTTCCCAGTTACAGACCCTTTCTGCAGAACCAGCTGTGACTGAATCCAAAGGATGGGAAATCCACAGTTATCCATGCTGGGAGCACTTATCAATTTGTTCCTCTGGAATCAGCCTAATTCACTGCTCACTGCACTCCCTCAGAGAGGAATTTATAGAGGTTGAAGCTGATGTTTTAGAGGCTCCATTACTGGCTGAAAGGAGATGGAAGAAACTTAGTTCTGTGGACTTGGAATGTGAGCTGAGCTTCCTCCATGCTCATGCCTAAGATTACTTGGGTCCATCAGCTTTCCATCTACAGGAGTTTAATCCTCCTTCTAGTGGCCCATTCACACCATTTACTCTCTGAATATGCCAAGTCTTAAACCATTCTGTATTTTTCTGTGGAAAGTCTGTTCTTATTCCGTGTCCATCTTCTCAAGGTTGACATCTCCTGAAAAAACTTACTTTCCTCCCCTCCTTCTAGAAACTCCAGACTATATACATTACATTACATTACATTACATTAAATGGCTGGTTGAATTCTAGTTGTAGCCTGCTTTTTCTGGCATACAAAGGTATCACACAGTATATCTAAATAAGATCAGGAGGTAAGTTTCAAGGAATCAGTGATCTTAAAGGAGAATTTTGGGTTCAATTCTTGAAAAATCTGTATTTCCTATCCAAATAATTTTGAAAAATCCTGTCATTTTCATCTTTTATAAACACAATGCAAGAAAAAATACTTGAGTTATAAGATAAGAGAATATCACATTATCTTGCTGACTAACAACTCTTACCTAACTAGCAGTGATACCTATCTAGGTGGCTTGTCATGGCAATATGCCATGTAATATAGCAGCATTTGATCTTGTTTGAAAATTCCTCATCAGTGTGGTTAAACTCTATACGCCTTTGACCCTTAGGCATCAACTGTTAGAACTGATGGCCTTATCTCCCAACAAGAAACAATACATCAATTTACTGGAGTTTTTAAAATAGTGAAGGGCGAAACAGAGAGGATAATCTGCCTTCCAATGGTATGGCTTCAGAGCATCCTACATGTGGCCCACAAATAACTGAATTCCTTGGTACAGACTGTTAGAGCCCAAAGGAAGAGTGAGAGGGTTCCCTATTAACCTCTATTGTGGAGAAACTACTAAAACTATTTATGGCAATACACTTCTTTCCCACCTGTCTAGGCCAACGGATACAGATTTTCCAAAGACATGAGTCCAGAACAAACCTCTGGCTTTTGTCTTTCTTTGTGCTTCTACCAAGTCTACATTACGTTCAAAACGGAGAGGTAATAACATAGCTTAAAATCATTCTTACAGTTGCTGGACCTGGGCCATTTGCACTGAAATTCATTGCTAATTGAAGACAGTAACATTAAATGAGTGCTGAAATAAAACTACTTCCTATTAGGCTTCCTTAATATGAGAAACACACTTTGCAAATTTTATAGACAGGGCAAGAAAGGTACTTGCAGTTATTCAGGCCTAGATTTGGTCTCAGAATTGTGAATACCATGACTGTCTGATTAGTCTTTTCCGGGACTGTAGTCACTACTTTTTTTCTGGGAAAGTGTGCACATAGAACTACTATAGTATAGGGAAAAAATCCATTGGTATCACAACCTCTGACAGTATACAAAGTGAAAAGCCATTTGTTGTAGCTAAGCATTATTTACGATCCACTTTTAAGCTTTATTGACTTCATTACATCACTACAGGCTCATGTGTGAGTATTAATGTAGTGAGAACAAGTCTGAGCCAGTGGACTGGCCTTTTCAGATTTGGAAGCATAAAATACTAGAAGCATATTTATGAATACTTGTAATACTTTCTGTTACCCTTCTCCTGTTACCTCCAGATAATGGCTTCTCAATATTTGGAGTTATTTAACCTGGACAAATCTTTCTCTTCTAATTGCTCACTGAAAATCTTTATCAAACTTTCCTAAATCCTATTTGACACTTTATACCCATTTGGTTTATTCCACTCAATACCAATCTATCCGTTCAATCACAGTGTTATATTTAGTTGTATACATATATCTGAAAATTTTGATTTCCATAGGTAGCTAGTGATTTTTTATTTGAATACTGTGTATTAAAACCTCTACCTGCTGCTTAGGAAAGTCACTGACAGGATAACCTTGGGAATAGGCACAGGAAATGGGGAAAAGGGCTCAATGAAAAAGTGACTGAGTTGGCTGGAGGGCTTTTATATATGGTTATAAATGCATATCCTTATTAGATAGAACTTTTATTTACTCCCAGATTTTTCTTTACATACAAAATACAGTTCATTTTTCTGAATGAGCCCAGTGACATTTTTTTACACTATTCAAGTTAGTAACTGCTTCAGAAGTGATAAGAACTTACTGAAGGGGTGAGTTTGAGTTCAGATCTTTCTCTGTCTCCTTGTTCAAAAAACTCACTGGTTACCAGCTCAGCTGCCTAAAACATAAATCATGATAAAGATTAGAATTCATGTTGCATAATATTTAGGATAATGAGTTTTGCTCAGAGCATGACTTCAGCCAGTGAATATCCCACTTACATGACTGATGTCAGGCACATGCTTATATAGCTTTCAGGACTGGACATGCAAGGGGTGTAGACAGCCACAGTCACTGACTGGCACACCTATCTGTCCTTTTTTGATAGGGAATTGACTGGGGGAGTTACATTGCAATGTCAAGGTAGCACTCAATGCAGTTACATCAACTTACTTGAGTATTGAGAACAGAATAGAAAGTTACAGGTTCTCACTGGCATCCACAATTATGTCTGTCATAAACTACGCAAGAACTCTCTGGGTATTTACAGGCTGTTGCCCTATATGAACAGCTTCACTTATAAAAGAAACTTAATTAGCCAATACCCTCTGTTGTCTTAATTTCATGTGAAATCATAAAGGTTTTTTCTTCCCCACTAGGTTTTATGTTTCCCCCCATGACTGTTATCACTACAGACTCTGGATATCTAAATATGAACTCAGATTGTGATGACCATATTGAATTAAAATCAAGAACTGGTGGGTTGGAAGTTGGAATGTGCAAATGAAGATGTTCTATTCCCAGCAGAGGTCTGTGCTTCTTGGAAGAGGACAAGATTTAAATACAAATTTAGTTATGGAAGCAACAGGAATTTTAGGAAGTCAAACACTGAGCAATTCTGATATAATACTGTGCCCTTGGCATGTGTGGGGCTTTGAAGGTAGGCACATGTGCCATTTATGATGCAAGAAACTGGACACCAATCTATATTCAGTTCCTAAAGCTCCTCTCATGCCTGCATATTGTTTTCAAGCTACGAAATTGTTTCATAATGCCGAGGCACAAAAGGGTAAACTAGGCAGAGAACCTGCACTTCATAAAGTCTCAACACTTCTTGCTCTAGCAACTGCATGGTAGGTAACGTTAACAAATCCTAATCTTGTTACAGTTGAAATAAAGAGCATCAAAATAAACTGCAAGTAGGCAAAGTCATGTTATAAAATACTCTTAAATCTTAAGCCAGGCTATCACAGTTTGGAACTTCATAATGTACGCAATCCCAGTGCACTAATAAAATCTGGATCAATACTCCAGATAGAGGAATAATTTAACAACTTAGCAGCAATTAAGGTTTTGCCAAGTGTATTGTATAAAAATAATCAAGATGTAGTGTATCACCCCTGTCTGTCACTGCTATTCTGATCCTCTTCTTTTGTTTCTTTCCTGCTTCCTTTGTCTGTTTGTATCTTCTCTTCCTGAATTTTGCCTTCTTACGCGTGGCCTTTATTTGCTTTGAGTCATGTATTTTAATCTCTTTCTCCCTCACTTTTTATGTTGTTTTTTTTTCTTTTGGCACAGTTGAGGTCCAACTATTTCCTGTTTTGCCTCTGTGGACTTATTTGTATCTTTGCTTAACCAGGTAATGTTTCAATCAATCCCATATTAGATTTTTCAATATAAAATAAATCTGTACACTAGACTGCAAGGGACTTTTCACCTGCAGACCTCAGAAGTGATAAGCATAAAAACCCAGTTTGCCAGAGACTAATTGAGCACTGTAGCACAAAGATTGACAACATGGAAAGCAGCCCCTGTCTGACATTTAGGTTGTCAAAAAAAATGGAGAAACTAACCCTTTCAGCTGCTGTTACTTCCTTGCCCTTCTCCAAGGAATCTGTGTGCTCCTGCCCCACTAGTTCGCTGGTCTAGCTTTTTTTAACTATTACTTTGCTGTTAGACCAAACTCCCTCCAGGTACATACCCACACTCAGCTGCACTGGTATATTTTCTGTTTGTTTCTTGATGCTGTATATTCCTCCAGAACCCTACATAGTCTGTCTTCTACTAGCTTGTTCTGGACCTCAGTAATGGACAAAGAATGATTAGCCATAGATACTGGAAATATTAAGGCTGGATGCCTAGAAGAGGGAAAATCATGGGACAAAGGACAGGTTGCTTTCTCATATTGTACTTGTTTGCCAATGCTGGACCCATATGTTATGCATGTTTCTAAAGAGCCTACTGGACAGCAGAACCCTGAAGTTTTAGTTGTTTCTAAGTACAGGATGCTAAAAAAATAGCTCTGTGCTACACTGGCAGTTTTTTCAACAATGTTAAGAAAATGTACAGATTTTCTTTATCACATATACTGAAGATTTTATGTTAATCAAAGTTTGCAGATCATCTGTTGGTATTTTTGATTTAGGGAAGATTCTGCCATTGCTAAGGAAAACTTTGGGACAAAAAAGGTAAGTACAGCTACATGTGGCTAACACCTTCTTTTGTTTAATCCATCTATTTTTTGATATGGATTGAAAAGGTTAATAAGAGGAGAGGTTGTAAAGCCAGATGTACACACCAGCATGTGTACAGGGAAAGATTATGCAATAAACAATTTTTTCACAGAAACTCCCTGCTATTTTTTTATAGCATTAATACCCCTGTAAATTGATTCCAGTTTTGGACCCTTGTAAGCCAGGGCCCTGGGAATATTGTCCTGCCAGTCCCTCCTCCTCCCAGCCCTGCTATTAATCATGACTTGCCTGTCTTGAAATCTCCCACGGTTTGGTCACAGCTCCAAGGTCACAGGCTGTCATTAGCATTGATCTGAAAAACAGAAATGAACAATACAAGCTGAATAAACCTTTGTTGGATTTCTACACAGCTCTGCTCTGGATGCATAAATAAATAATACATATATAAAATGTCAGCCCTGGCACCTTCTTTTCCTCCAGAAAAGAATGACATGTTTGAAATCTCAGCCATCAGCATGGCTTTTACATCACAATTGTGCCTGTGAAGCCTAGTGTGTTGCAGGTCATAAGATGATGAATTTTGGTATTGTGCATTGCCCACTAGAAAAGAAATGATACTGCAAGGGAGTAACTGCTAATTTTGCAATACTTCTAACACTACTTACATTAATGCCTATAATATATCAGAAAGCATGTGGTTCACATGATATAAGTAAGGGTATTATTACATAATAACACCTGAACTGGATTAATTTATAGGCCTATTTGTAAGTGACTGCTGTAGCAAGAGAGCTTATAATCACAGGAGGCATCCCAGACACTGTTTAAGCAGTTTCTACCGCTCATCTACAATAAAAATTTAAGATTTACTATGAGCTATATGGTTCCACTGTAGTTTAATACCTAGCTACAACCATGTTTTATATGCATTAGGAGAAAGAAACCATTCAGCTGTAGAAAGCGTTTATGTACAGTACATGATGCAGATAAAAGTCTAAGAAAGTTTAAATGAAGAACAAGGGCACTGAAAATGAAGCATCGAATATATTGCCTGAATCTAAAATTAGGAATGAATGAAATGATATGGAAAATAGACAAATGGCCAATATTTTTGTTAAAAGACCAAAAGGAAACAGAATTTTAATGAAATTGCAGATAAAATGGGACATAATCAGGCATGCATAGGCAAATACACACATTTTATTATCTAAAGAGTGTGGTGTACTCAAACCACCCACAAAGCCTGAGGCCCTGAATCTAAAATTAGGAATGAATGAAATGATATGGAAAATAGACAAATGGCCAATATTTTTGTTAAAAGACCAAAAGGAAACAGAATTTTAATGAAATTGCAGATAAAATGGGACATAATCAGGCATGCATAGGCAAATACACACATTTTATTATCTAAAGAGTGTGGTGTACTCAAACCACCCACAAAGCCTGAGGCTTTGCATGCATGC